ATATCATCCTCGAGAGGATGAGGCCAGTTTCTTTCTCCGTGATGCCCAGTGACAGGACAAGAGGCAGCGGGCACAAACTGAAGCACAGGAAGTTCTGTCTGAACATGAGGAAAAACTTCTTTCCTGTGAGGGTGACTGAGCCCTGGACCAGGTTGCCCAGAGAGGCTGTGGAGTCTCCTTCCCTGGAGATATTCAAAACCCTTCTGGACGCGATCCTGGGCAACATGCTCTAGAGGACCCTGCTGGAGCAGGGAGGTGGGACTAGATGATCTCCAGAGGTCCCTTCCAACCTCAACCAGTCTGTGATTCTGTAACTACCAGCAGCAGTGGATTTCAAACAAGTGCAGTGGGTTGCATTTGTGCTTTAAAAGAGCTGTAAGACGGTGCTGCAAAACACTAGAGCACGTATCAATTTTAGCATGACTGTGAAAGAATATAGCACCATTGAGGATATTATAACGCAAATAATGAAAGTTCTTAATATTATCATAGATTGAAGTTCAGAATCATGAAACAGATTCAAGCTGTGGTTGAAAGTAAGCCACACTTTAGAGTTACAATTAGCATTACATTTTAAGCAAGATAATTGAAAATTATAGACTATGGAGATGAAAAATACCTTGCAGATCTTCCAGTACATCTGAGATTGTTCCTGCTGTTGTCTTTTATTTGTATTTTGTCTAGTCCAGTTTTAAACATACCACTCAGAATTGCATCGCATCTCTGAGGAAACGTTTTTTTTCTAATAGCCAGCACCATTTCTCCTTGTTGTTGTATCAGATGGATTTGAGTATGGTCCACACAGTGTGAAGATGTGTATGGCCCATTTCCTTCATAACTTGTGCAAACTTTTTCCGTGTGATAGTCAATCATTGCTTACCGAAACTAAGCGTATGTTTCTCTGTGCCTCTGCTCTGACTTCTGGTGGGGTTGTGCACCTCTGCAGATGCTTGCTGGCCCATTGCTATGTGGCTGGCGAGAGCCCGGCCAGTCGCAGGGGCAGCTCTCATTTCTGGACTTCTGTGCTCTCCCTGCAGCCGGCGTGCCCACAAAGCCAGCCTTCGTCCCTCTTTGGGGAATGATGCTAGGCCCATCTGTTAGCTCAGTCTGATAGGAAAAGTGCAGCCTTCAAGGATGGCTTGTGGGTTACTTTTTTTTTTTTCCCCCCCCCAAGAGGATTAAATGTCTGTATTTGACCAGTGAGTCTTCGAGAGCAGTCTGAGTGGTCCTTTTCTCCTGGTTGCTGCTGTGAGCAGCGCTTTTGCAATTATTCACACCTTGCTTTTAGCAGTAGCTTTCTCACACAAACATGTTTCAAAGAAAGCTCAGTCCTGGTTGATTTTTAAACATATCAATGACCCCTGTTCCTTCATGTCTTTCAGATCAATAGTTTTGCTTCAGACTTTCTCATTATTCCTGCAGAAAATGCCATTTGTTTATCATTGACTTTTACTGGTGTTCTGGCACTTTTTTCTTTAACGAAGATTAAATTATTGCCACATTTTTATTTCATAAATAGCTTTAGAATATTTCTTCCAACTGCAGTTTCTTTTGTTCGAAAGATTGTCAGTAATTTTTTTTTTTGTCATCCACACAATTTTTCTGGCTAATTTCTCATCTGTTCTTGCCAGATGTTTTTTTCCAAGCTTTTGTGACAATGAAATACAACCATAGTAGTCCATGCTATTTAAATAAAAGTCTTGAAAAACTGCTTTTTTTGGTAAGTGCGATTGGTTTGACATTGCATTCGTGTTTTCCCAAATGTGGTGTGAACTTCTGATATATCTTCAGTTAAGAAAAGATCACTTCCCAAGATTTACACCACCTGAACTACTGAAGTAGCAAAACTTGGAGTTTACAAATAAATGTCCAAAACCCAGTCCATTCTGCTGTATCCTGTTTACCAGGTGTGTGCCGTAACTAGGCGTAGAGAGAGACTGCTAGGAGTGTAATTTTATACAAATAGATAGCTCGGATAGGTGGATTTCCCAGAGGGTTTTTCTTCCTTCCCCCCCTACCCCAGTGCTTTTTTAGATATTCAGTTAAGAGGCGCTCAAGTCATTTGTGTCCAGAGGAAGTTGAACGAGCTTTGTCCCACAAGGCTTTTTAACCAGTTGACTATTATGGTGAAGAAGGATGAGACAACTACTTCTTCTTATGAATCTAGTCAAAAAAGATAGGTTCAACATAAAATATTTCAGGAACTTATTAACAATTCCAGATCTACAGAAACTGAATCTTGTCTTTTGACAAATCAACTTACTGAAATAAATAGGTCATCCAATCCTGTGGCTTACTCATCAGCAGAAGAGTCCTGCCGTGTTTGTATGAAATGGAGAAAAGCAAGAACTCATTGCTTTGGGGTGGCAGAACTTGCTTACTGGTTTTGATTCTTCCTGAACTTGGTGAAAAAACAATGCAAACAAAGCTCTAGGCTGGTGCCTGCTGCAGGATTTTGGATTTGCCCTTCTGAAATCCTAACTTTCTCTAGGTATGGGACAGATGTCCGTAACTAGGTTTTGAATTCCACTCCAAAGACTCACAAGTTAGGTATTTTACCATGTAATGCATAGGCTGTATTTCACCAGCTAACATGTAGGCTGTCTGAGTGGAGCTGGTCACTATTTAATCCCCTTAGATACGTATTCTCTTTGTCTCTATTGGGGCTGCTTGGAGATAAAACCAGTTCTTAACTTGCATGAATGGAAAATGGCAGTTCTACCTGCTGCTTTCTTAAGTAATCTCAGTACCAGGGCTCACTGTGTAAGCACTCACTTTGCTGCGATGGCATTTTTATTAAGCTAAATAAATAGAGTATTTGTGAAAGAAAGGAGTGGAGGGTTGCAGTTTGCTAAGTAAATAACTGTTTTACTCCAACTGATGATCAGAACCTTCATATGTTTTGTAACATATCGATCCTAAAACGTAATGACACATAGCACCTAGTCTGACACTATTTCAGATTTGTAGAGTCAGCCTTTAGTAAGCAATTTTACACTGCTGACCTTAGGTTCCCTCTACAGCGTTTAGTGAGAGCTGAAAAAAGATGGTTACTATTTGTTGTTTAAAGCAGAGCTGAAATATTTGTAACGTAGCAGCAAGGTCACTTTTGCGTCTCAAATGAAATTTAGATGGGTCCAGCTCTGAGCTATCTAGACTTTTGGTGTGCTCCTTGGAAGCTTTATGAGCCTCATGCCATTCCTTCTGTGGGACATAACCTGCTTTCATTGGTAATTTCTGAGTGCAAGGCAGCAGCAAGCATATATTGCAGAAAGGATTAGCCAATGATGGTGCACTGAGGTGTAAAATAGAAGTTGTGATAACAGATTACACCATTGTGTGACTTCATTAGCTGAATAAAGACATTCGTTGAATGAAGAATGTGGAAAAATGTGCTCTCTAATTCGTAAGTACTAAAAAAAAATACCAAACGCCTAGCAAATTTGAGGTTGGTTTCAAGTCAGTGATGGTTGTTGGAAGTGATTCCTGAACTGGATTTTGAATAGTTTACCATTTACCATACACTGAGTTTAGTTCTCTTAAGTGCTGTCAATGCTAAAAATTGGTAAGTAGTATGCTACTTTTAATGTAATTTAGAGACCTGAATTACTTCAACAGTATTTGTCTTTGTCAGCACAGGCAGGCCAATATTCCATAACCAAATCCCACATACTTTGCAGAAGGAGGACATCCAAACTATTGTTGTCTTATGCCATGCAAAAGAAAGTTAAACACAGGTTTTATAAAAATTGCCCCATTCTGGGCAATCATAACTTTTTTGTTCCACAGGTTGGTGTCTTTTTTACAGTATGTCTGCTTAAGGGAACGCTTTAATGAATATTCTTACTTCTTGCAAGCCGTGTCACAAATTTGAAGATGAAGTTCACTTTCAGCGAAAGAGTGGGTTTATAACTCAGGTGTATTTTTTTTTGTTGATACTGATAAGATTTCTTAAGTGCTGCTGCTTTATAGTAACACACATTTCTGAAGGTTTAATTGATGCTATCTTTCCTGATCTATTTATTCTCCAGAAATTTCTTTCTATATGAGTATCATTACACACAGCTAGGTCATAGCTGACTGGTTTTTTTTGAAAGTAGGACTGTAGTCAGATGCTTTATAGAATCCGTGCTTTATAGAATGTAACCTTGTTATACTGAATTGTCTGCAGCTATAGCCCAGGCAAGGCAAAATGTCTCTTCTCCTCTGCTTTTCCCTCTTTCCTTCCCCTGAGGCTGAGTGGAGGCAGGGAGATAGAAGAATCGACACTATTTCTTGTAGTGGAGGCAGAACGGATTGATTGCATTTAACACCAGCGTCCCATGACTGCACTTTGGTGACGCCATAGTTATCATTTCATGGAAAAAAGGTGGTGAAAAATACACTTACATTGCTATATTAGCAAAATAATCGATGGCTCTATCAAGACACTGCGTATATAAGTAGGCACATTTCTCTCCTTTCAGGCCATGCTCTTTTTAAGCACGCAGTCTTTGCTATCCAGCCTTCCAACCTCGAAAGTCTTTTAGCTGAGTAGAGTGATTCTATCCATCTGTTCAAAATGCTGTATGAACTGGCATGAGAGTATCCAACTTTGAATGGAAAAATTCAAGAGGAGATCTTCAGAATTTAAAGGAAAGGGACTCAAACTGTGTCCTGGCTGTCAAGCAGAAGAATGGAAAATGTTCAACTCCCTGCCAGCCTTTCTCTCTCTGATTAGAACTCCATAATAACCCTTGATAGGAAGGGTAAAGGGTGAAGCCTGTGTGTGTCACTACCTGTACTGCAAATGTAGCACTATAAATATATGTATATTTCTGGTTCTGCTTGCTGCAGAACTACATGAAAATCAGTGAGAAAGTGTGAGTGGTTTTCTGAAGAAATATGGCCATATGGTGATTTGGGAAAGATGTTGATGACAAATGGGGAAAAAATGTAATTGGCTATTGCTAATCACATTTGGAGAAATGTCTAATGTTACTCATGTCTCTTGTTCATAGATCACCTCACTTGTGACACTCCAGCTGTTATCCATGGTTGGCCATAATGACCAGCTTGATGGACCCCGATACAAATGTACTGTATCTCTGGATTTCATCAGGGCTGTTGCACGGTGAGCCTGTTACACACTGTTTAGTGTTTTATATGCTGACTTGAATGAGATTTCAAAAGCAGTATTTGCTTAGTTTTTTTACTGGCTCTCTGCAGGCCACAACAGGAATCAACAGCAACTTTCTAAGAATGGAGAAAAGGCTACTGAAAAATGAATTGTTTATTTGTGTATATTCCAATAGTTCAGTGAGATCTTTCCAAGACAGGTTGTCATCGTGTTATTATCTGTACAAGCAAATAGAAGAATCCTTGTCTTCAAGAGCTTACAATTTTAAAATGGCACGGTAAACTAAAGAACTATCTTCCTGAGGAATCAAGACAAAGACATTCAAGTGTCCTATGTCACACAAAGTGTCTTTCCCTGTGTCTTATTCTTCCATCTCTGTTCTAGTCATTTAGAACCACAGAACTACCCTTATCCTTTTCTGTGCTGGTTTTAATGAGAAGGCGTGTGCTGTAATGAAACTGCTGCCGTGAAGGAGTGAGGGATGAGAATGTGTAGCCCTTTGCCAAGTTCAGTCAGATTTTGGTCAAATTTCATTTGATCACTCTATGAAAGGGTTTATATATGATGTGGTTGCCTGTGACTTCAGAGATCTCAGGAGATCCCGTCCCACTCTAACATCCTAAATTTTATTCTTCCTACAGAAATGTGGTAGTGGAAGTTTACATCCTTCATGTTAATGTTATGGTAACCGTATAGACAATGGAAATGCTAAAGCTTGGGAAAACGTTTTTTTTTTCCTTCTGTTTGTATCATTTACCTAAATCGTACTTATGTGGTAAGATAGTGGCATAAGAATTTATCTTTTAATTAGGTTATTTTAGCTTTGAAATGTGGTGTGCAAAGCTTTTCTGTCTGCTCTTGAATTTACTTTGATATGATATTATGATTCCTCATACTTTAGTAGATCTCTAATTAAATGTTGTGAATATTCATTATACTTCTTTAGATTTTGTTTATTTTCTTCCTTTTACTTAACAAAGTTACTTTCTTTTAGGGGAAGAAACACTGTTTGGCAGAAGTGGCTCAAATTTTATAGCTATAATTTCTATTTTTGTATCATAGAGAGTTTTAATAGAATTTCCTGGGAAGGTCTCTTGTTGTGTGAGATACTGAAGCTAGCTCATTTATTAGCACTTTTCCAAAGTAACTCAAAAATATTTTAAGTTTTCAAGCAGCAAGTCCTTTAAATTATATTAGGTCCAAGTTACAACACAGGGAAACCTTTAAGTACTTTGTTGGACTGACTTAGAAGAGCAACAGAGAAAATACTTGCATAATAGAAACATAACAGCAGCAAAATACCAGCCTTCTATTTAGTGAACGAATTTAGAGGATTATTGAGAGATACATTCTTTTCAAAACAGGATTGGACTAATCTTAATGACATAGCTAGGCCAAAGAACTATTTTAATGTGATACAGTAACATACTCTCTTTGTGCTTAATAAAGATCAAGGACTTCATGTGAAAGTACTGTTCCTACTGTTAGTCATTTTCATTTCCAAAAGGCATATGGTAGTACCTTAATCTGAACTGATATTTAGTTCTAAACACAGTGTTTGTTGTAAATACAGTATAAAAGCTATATAGGTTATAATAATTTTTCCATATAGTTGTTCTTGTGTGATCTGTAGCTGAAATAAATTAATGTAGATACCCCCAAAATTCATTTAGTTCATTAAGAGCCTTCTGTTTTAGAGTCTGAGGAAGGTGAGAGATCCATCAGGAGAGATGATTATGAAGTGCAGACAGAAGTGCATATACTACCTGGGCAACAAGCAGACCCTTGTCTCATTTATAGGAAATGAAAACAGCAGTATCTCACACCTGTTGCAACAGCCAACCTACTAGCAGCTCTTGGAAAAAGAGTACATGGCCAGAACAGAGAACAGAAATAACATGTTGCTGAAAGGAGGAGAAACACTTTAAAGGCCAGCCCTTCTCTGTAACAGTGGACTTCAGAGGAACCTGCCTTTTAAACGATATTGCAAAGCCTCAGTGCACCAGTGGCTCTCCTGACCTATTAAATGTCCAACAGACTTGTCAGTAAACCCTACAGATGCACTTAATTTCAATTTGCAATTGGACAGCACATAGAATGAATTCAGGCCCGGCTGGACCATACTGCCATGACCTCCAGTGCTTCACTATCTCAATTTGCTGTTCCCAGCAATAAAGTCACACGTGAATGATGCCCTGAAAAAGCTCCCACTGGTACCAAATACAGAGGGCCATCTGCTTAGCAACATCTATTGTCGTGCGTTCAGATGTCCCCATGCTCTTATCTCTGCTCTAACTCTTGCTGTGAATACAGAGACCAGTTCATAAACTCTGTACTGACTACAAGGGTCCTTCCTTAAATGAATGAAGGTACTTGAAATGACAGCCCTGTCGCTGCAACTTTAACACCTTTAGAAGTTTCACTGAGTCCATGAAAGCTGCCAGAAGTTAGAGATGGCCAAAACTTACGCTGTGCAGGTCATGCTTAGCAGAAGAAGTAGCTGTGAGACACTATCACTTCAAAACTTAATGCACACTCTAGTGCTTCGGCTAGCCTTCCTTTAGGTCAGGTGTGCGTATGTATGTCATATCTACAGTTTTTTTCTATGTGTTCTGAAGAAGGGAAGAAGGAAATATTTCTTTTCCTTCCAGATAGTTTGGAAGTGTTTATGTGCTGTGTGGATAGAGCAATCGAGTGACTTCACAGATTTTAAAGTCGGCCTGTGATTCTTTTCTTTTTCCTTTTGTTCTCCTTTTTTTTCTTGCTTTGTTCCTTTGTTATGCCTTTTTATTTAGTTTCTTTTCCAAGAACATTTTATTTAGTTTCTTTTCTTTGTTGCATCTTTAAAAAGGACAATCGATAGATAAGATGCAAGGTTCATGAACCCATGATAAGTGGGTTTCCTCTTGGCTGGTTGGGGCCAGCTGAAGGGTGGATTTCTGATCCTTTGTGCTTTAAGAAGTATCATTTGCTAGCTGTGTTATAGCGTTGCAGCTGCCTGTGGTTTTTACGCAGGTGTGGGAGAGGAATATTTATTGCAAAGGAGAAGGATCTACTTTGCCCTTTCAACCAAAATACATCTCAACTAAGCAGACCATCTCCTGATTTTCTGCTTCTCCTTTATTGTGGTAGTACTAAGATGTAGTCACTGAAATCTTCAGATACCTCATCCTTATTACCATCTCACGTTGCTGCTTAGCATATTTCCTAATGAAAAGCTGAAGAGTGCAAAGAGCAGGACAGAAAAGCATGTGCTCTCTCCCCTTCGCCACAGCACCCCATTTAGGATGTTCAGCTTGTGTTTAATTTTCCTTTTTTTTTTTTTAAAGCAAAAATGAAACATGCAATTTTTTTAAAGCAAAAACTATATTTGTTTCATGGAAAAATGTAGTATGCACTTATCTCTTCCTGGAGTGTTTTCGTGTCATAACTGCTGCCCATGCACAGTCAGTCTGTTTAATACCAAGGAACTTGGTCTAGCTCTGCTTATTGCATATATTCAAGGTCTAGCTCTGCTTATTGCATATATTCAGCCTCTGCAGAGGTATTCCCATGCTTTTTATGACACACTATTTACACTTTTGGTTGAAGGTAAGGTTAGATATTTCTTTGCTAGAAACTTTAAATTTCTGTTTAAAGAATTTCAGATGTAAGCTCAAAAATTTTTTACTTTTCTGAAGTAGGAATATTTGTTGAATGGGATGGATCTTTTAATATAATCTCTAATGATCCAAGCTGTTATGACAGGGTAATTGTGTTTCATTTAGTTGATAAGGTCAGCATTTGTTAGAGAGTAAGATATTGTTTCTGCAGAAAGCCTTATAACTAAAGCACTTGTTCTTGAGTGACATGACATAATATGATTCCAACAGTGGCAGTTAATTTCCTTTAACTTTGTCACTGGATTATTAAGTGAACTCCAACACACTGTCTCTTGCTGCATATCTCAGGAATTTCTGAACTTTTTCTCTGCCTGATATGATGTTTTACAGAAAGTTTTTAAAAAGTGGGTTACAAAATGATGCATGAACAGAGAATATTAGATGATTGCAGTCTAACAAATAAGACATTCAGCCAGTTAATCTCACTTAGCATTGTGAGCAGTTATTTTTGCATCACTGAGTACTTTAAAAAAACTTTTAATTTTATACTTGTCATTATGTGCGGTAATTTGTGTTATTTATTCAAACAGTAAACCCTAAAGTCTGAGTGTTAGATTGTACAGCAGAATGAGTTTAGAGACAAAAAAAATAATTATATGTTTTATTCCACTGCTATTTCATTCTGCCTGCCATCAAAGTACAAAAGTATACATTAAAATCTTCTATCCTATTGAGTGGCATTCTTGGTTTTTTCAAATTTAGCTATGAACATGGGTCAGCTAGTGTCAAGACTGAAAGAACGCAGCCTGCAGATGAGTACAGATAAAGGAGTTATGCAGTACATGCTGAAACAGGTGGTTTGGAAGATGAACAAAACACTCAATAGCATAAAAGATTCCTGCTTTGCATTTCCAACTAGAGTATAATGTTTACCAGAGGAAGATCTACTCATATCAACTTTAATTTAAATTTATTTTTACTGCTTAAAGATTAAGAATCTTTCATTTCTTTCCAGAAAGCTTCTCTATTAATTTTGAAAAATCTTACAGAGTTTAAATACTCAAAAGATAGATACTGTAAATAACATTAGAAATTAGAAGTTATCATTCGTGCTCAATTGCGTTTGGAGGGGAGGAGGTATTGCTTGATTTTGATTGTGCAGAGTCTCCCACGTGTGTTGTCTCCAAACAGGTTAAAGTCTTAGCGCTGTTAAGATGATTGTTCTGATATACTGTGTTTTTGCTTATAGGACCGTGAACTTCGACATAATAAAGTACTTGTACGATTTCTTGTGAAAACAAGCTTCACAGCCATATGGACACTGTGACAATGACTAAGGCAAGCTGTGTTCATCTCTCTACTTAGCTGGCCAGAAAGAAGAGTATTTTGGCTCTTTTGGATTTGTCCAGACAGGTGCTGGCCCAGCATGGAATCGGATGAAAATAACTCTGATTGGTCTAGGTGGATCTGAGCGGAGGACTATTTACCAGGGACCCTGGAGTATTTGGAAGCAATGTGTTAATTATAAACAGCAGGGTTTGAGCACAATCTGTTCTACTCTTAATGATGTTATCTTAACACTGAAATTGCCTGAAACCCATTTACTTAGGACTGCATTTTGCTCTATGAACTCTCCCCAGTGCTTTGAACATGGCAGCAGCCCTTGTTTGTATGCCCAGTCTTTTCACTTCCTCTCCACAGGAATCTTTGCAATTGCCTGCCAAAGCAGCTTTTCCCGAGGCCACCATTTTAGGGGAGAGGAGTAGCAAAATACAATAAACATAGGAACATATTTAAAATCAAGCTGGTATAAATCCTTCTTTCTCTTTAGTCATATGTAGGTAGACCGTTACACTGTTACAGGGGGATCACAGTGGTAGGAAGCTCCCAATTTATCAGCATACTGTCTCTTTTCAGACCGTTCATAACTGCTAGCCATGAATCTGTTTTTACTGAGATTTTTTATTTATAAAATCATGTGGTTTTGTAACAGTGTCTAGCCTGTAGGGAAGTACAGCACAGCTACCTTTCCATCAGGAAGACAGAAATTCAACAGGTTATGGAATGTCCCTGCGGCAGTGCCCTGAAAGAGACAGAATAGTGAATAGTCGGTGTATTGTCACATCATAAATCTTTGCAACACACAGATAAAAGGAAGACATAAACATTAATTTGAAATTGAATATCAGGCTATGAACTTGATCTGTGTGGAAAATATACTCAGATTATGAATTGTGTCTAATTTACAAGTAGAGGATTCCCAACTGCCACTGCATTATGGGATTTTGAAATCCTCTATCTAGCCCTGTTAAAGACTATTTTGGATAAAGTGTGGGGAGACCTGTTCTTCATGAATCTGAAGGCTTTTGCCTCCTGCTTGAAAACTGAAGGTTCCGCAGCCTTCCTGAAATTTTCCTCAAATATTGTACTCCTAAACACTGACCTTTGACTGTCTGACAGTACAAGACTATGTTATGTTGACCATTCTGGCTTTTTTAAAGGAAGAATGCCCCCTTGATCTCAGCTAATGGAAATGGTCAAATAGCCCAGAATGTGTGTAGCTTTTTTCTTCAGGTGTGGATGTGTGGCTGGGCTTCTGAGTCTGGATTCAGACCCAAATGTATGAGCTCCAGGTGAGTCAAAACTAACAAAAGCCTCTTTCTGATCAAGCTGTCCTTTCCCCCCTCAGGAGAATGTGAAAGGGCAGGGATGAGTCATCTCCCGGATCCTCTTTCCTTCCTACCGCTGAGCTGAATCAAACCCTGCACCTGTCCATGAGGTGGCAACATTTGTCACACTTGCTGAAGTACTTGGATGCAAACACTTTACCTGCTTCAGAATGTTTATTGCCTGTTTTTGTTTTACTAATAAAAATGTACATAAGATGAACTGCAGTTTGCACTGAACTTTATAGCTGCGTCCCCTTTTGGAGCTAGCGATGAGCCAAACTCAGCTATTGTGCATCTCCATCCAGCATGGCTACCTAGGGCTGAAAGCTGGAGAAGCAAGAAAGCTTGAGCAGTTCAGACATAAACTAGTCCCACTGTGCAGTGCAAAACAACAGCAGTACATCATAGCTTTTTCGATACCTGATCTGGGCTAGAAGTTGCTATTATGGGCTTGGTACTAATTTGCTAAGTCCTACAAGTCCTGGGTGATAAACTTGCAGAAACTCTGCAGCTGACCTTGTTTGCAGCTATCAACAAAGTGGGGCAGGGCTGTACTGCTGCAGAGAGACAATGCCAGCTTGTGAAGCTTCCTCTCAGTGGTAGTCAGGATGTCTGAAAACCTCAGCACCTACCAAGCACATTGCAGGAAACGTTTCTTTGTAAAGCTTTACTACCAACAGCAAATTACAAATAATATCCCACTTGCATTTAACCTACATAAAAATATTAGAAATACTCAAAAGTAAGGTCCAGAAATACACATCAACAATTCAAGGCAAGCACAAAATGCAACTTCACAGGTGGCCCTACGTAAGTTTATTGATGCACAATAAAATCAGATTATGTTAGAGATACATTGTCAGCCTGCATTTATATCTGATCTTGTATTGGAAAGAAATAAATAGGATTTTTACCAGGTTGCTCAGTACATAGCCATTTCAGGAGTGGTTTTTTATGCTGTTTATGAAGTGGGTTGAAGAGAGATGAGATGCAGGGACAAGGGTTACAAACAAAAAGAAAGACCAAGTATAGTGATCTTTCGCTAGCATAATAGTATTGTATGGTTGAATTAATTCCAGAGTCTTAGATTTTCAACAATATAGATATCTAAGGGCTCACATTTGCTTTTAGTAGTACCTAATGAAATACAATACCTCTTGTTTTCAACTTAGTGTTGAAATTTAGCTGGTTATTAGAAATGAGCCCGTACATACAGATAAGTGATTTTCTTTTCACCACTATAGCAGCTATAGACACTTAAGTCTTGAACTGGTGCTGGTCTTAATCCTTTTTAGGCGGTATACATGGAGAAGACTAAATATGCCATATTTCAGTATATGCCTTTGCAGATTGGTGTTTTATGTAAGTTCTATTTCAGGTTGCAGTTGGAAAAGCATCCTTTTGGCATAGTATTAAATGTGTTCACCTGGTTGCCCAACTTTCTCAGTAATTCTGTTACTTCCACGTAGCAGACCATCTCCCTCAAAACTACCAAGTCCCACATTTGGTGCGCAAAATATAGCAAACATGAAATAAGGGTCTTTGAAATTAAGCACTGAGAAAACTTAAGGTGCTGCTGATTTTTTTATTATCATTATTTCTCACACTAGCCTGGTGATCATTTTTTGCGTGAATCGAAAAGCGGAGGATACAAATTTTTCTGGAGCGTAGGTAATTTGACTGAAAAGAAGTTAATTGGAGGAGGAGTAGTTACTGAGGAGCCATTAGACAGAGCCAGTGTCCTTACGTTGAATACACTTCTGTGCCCTTTTTGAAAGATATCTATCAGTGCTATAAAATTAAAGCTGAATCAGCAGAGTATGAGAAAGAACAAGGTGACTGAAGTGTGGATGACTGATGTAGGCTATAACTATGCTGATGATGAATAGTAGGATTTGTTCTGACAAACTAGAAATATTTCTATATATCCACGTCAATGAGTTTATACGTTACTGCCCAGTATCTTATTATGTACCTTAGCAACCATAGTAGTACTGCATTTTGAGACCCTACTTTCATGGGTGAAGAAAAGCCACCCTTGGCCTCCCTGGGCCAGGACTACACCTGCTCTACGGGTGGTTTTAATGACTGTGAGAAAGATGCAGAGCAAGATAGTTGTTAAAGTAGTCAGAAAACCTCCAGTACTTTCATGCAGCAGGATATAAGTACTTAAATAAATTTGTAATTCATCAGCCAAAAAGTGTTATAAGACTAAAAACTCTATAAACTTACAGCTTCTGTCTTCAGCTGATCCAAACATTCACAGGAGCTGGGGCTTGTTCTTAGGACAGACAAATGGAGAGAGAAATGCGGGTATCATACAGTTGTAGATAAGTACCCTTGTGTAGCCCTGAATTCACCAGCAGCTGTGTTTTCAGGTATATAACCCGGAGATTTTCTTTTTTAAAAAAGGCTTGCAAGAGTGCATTGACATACAGTATGAGAGGAAATGCATTTTTTTTAACAGTGATTTACCTTTCTCTACTTCTTCCAGAACCTACTACTTCTACCGTAATAATCTCTCTACTATTGCAATTTTGTGCAAGTTAAATAACTGTACAGATTGAGCACTTGGTAAGTTCTAGTACTTTTATACACCGTGAGTTATACCTGTGAGAATGCATCAGCTTTTACCGTTAGTTATTTTTCCAGTGTCCACCAGGTAGTTTTGCCAAGACTGTTCAGGCACTGTCCACCTCCTCCATGACTGGAACAGGCAGCTATGCCAGGAAAATGGTGTGAAGTACAGGATTCCCAGCAGAAATGTAGGAGAAATCACATGTCTGTGACCTGTGAGCAAAATGTACGCAGTTCAGTATCCCAGGATTAGATGTTCCCTCAGCACTTGATTTGGCATAGATAGATAGCAAAGAAAAGTGAGAAACAGCAGGTTCTTAAGAATTGCCTGAAGTTAGGCATACTACATGTTTTAGTCTGCTCAGATGATTTTGAAACAGAAGATTTTCTCCATCCAGGAGCAAATGCTACCTGAAGCAACTCACCCAGTTTTTTTCAAAACAGCAGCATAATTTACAAAAGATCTGTATCATTAGTAGTAAATATGCATTGGGATAAAGATACAGCTCGATTAGCAAGTCTAATCATGTGCAATACCAAATTTTATGAGTTCTCAGTCATTTGCATGGCTCTACTAGAATACTTGATGTATAGACGATTAATAGCAGAAACTGTTTTTTTTTATCTCAACTTTCCTGTGACATGTTGTTAACTCTGAGCAGGCAGATGCATACAAATTGTGTGCAATACTAGGATAGAAGTAGGCATGGAGTATATTCAGCTCTACTTTTTGCTTCAAAACCGTTGAAGAAAATTACATCTGAAAACAGTACAGGAATAGTTTGTGTATGCCAGCAGAGTTCACATCATGGAAGTACAACCTTTTCAATGAAAATATCCTGAAAATTCTACATGGGAGTATGTCTTTAGAAAACAGTAACTCAATGGCAGTGTCTGGACTAGAACGAAAAGTTGGAAAATATCATAGTGCTGACAGTTTGGCAGTAGCAATATATCAGTCATATAATTGAATAACCATATGTTTTTTAATATCTAGGCTACTAATATTAAGAAACTTTAAAGTCTGATATTAAAGCAAGATCAAGACTTTGGCAGCCTGTGAACATTGGTGGTTTTGTGCTGTTTCAGTGACAAGTTGCATCATTATTTACAGACGAAGTGGTCTTGGGGTAAGAAATACCAGCCTTTACCAGTTGTCTCTCTGAGAACACGATGTACAACGTACCATAGGTGGGTTTGATGTTTGAAGTGTTGGTGTAGTGTACTACTCTTACAGTGCCTCCTACTCTGTCAGTGAATTTTTTTTTTCCTAGAACTAAGTACGGGAGAGGCTTTTGCAGAGCCAAGTAGAGAGACTGGGGAAGAGCAGAACAGAGGAACCGCCATTCCCAAGTGGCAGAAAGCATAGTTAACTCCTCATTTCATTTGTTTCAAAAGTTGGCTTTTGAACAGACAAGTCCTTCATTTGATAACAATTTATTGCCACTAGTATTGCAATTAAAAAAACTTGTCATGAGACTTGCAAGGGAGCAATGTATCAAAGAGCAAAGCACTGAAAGAAAAATAAATGTTCACTGGCAACATAGTGCAGTTGGGTGACTAGCATGGAAAGGGCTGGGCTTTTCTTTGAGATGAAATGTGGAACTTTGTTATATGGCTGCCTTTGATGTTTTGAAGTCTCCAGAAATGTACACAGTCTTCCAAATTACCTTCTGTTTCTTCTTGCACCATCCCACTAAATTCTACATTTTTTTCAAAATGGCTCTTGCAGAGAACTGATTTACAACCATGGCTAGGTTCTAGGCATTACCTCTTGGAGAAAGTCTTCCAGGAGCTTACAATTCAAGAACCATACTCTGGGCATGACACAGGTATCTTCCCCTTTGCACAGGTGTGTGTTGTTAACGTATCCTCTTGCCACATATCTTTTGTCCTGCCAACACTTTTTTGGATGATCACCACACGCCTCCAGGTGGTTGGTCTGCTGAGTACCTGAGGGTAGCTGGTTAGCATCATCAATACTTTTTTCCAAATCCTGGTTAAATCTATTGGACCATAAATGCCGTATTTCCAGTCGTCGTCTTCTTGGTGTTTGTTTTCCAAGAATTGTTTGATTTTGATGAAATGCTAATGAAAAGCCAAGGGCAATGATAGACCCAGTATAGTAAATGTGATTTTTCATAAGCAGCACAGCAAAGGTTCGGTTTTGCCTAAATTCGTTCACTGTGTGTGTTCTATTTTCCTGACAAATACTGAGTTTCTACAGGAAAAAGATTTTTAATATGCAAGTACTCTCCTTACTGCATTTGATTCTTGCTGAGGGAAGTACATGCTGCTTGTTATTTCGTGTGCTTTGCCGAGTTCAGAGGAAGGTGGAGGGACTAGAATAGAAGCAAGGGGAAAGGTTAGGAAATAGAGATTTGCCAGGAAATAGAGCTTCTTCTATGCTTCTGATAGAAAGAGAAGAGGAGGGCACTGGTAGTTCAACATCTGATCACTTCCTCCATCTCCACGTAATTGTAATAATAATACTGAGGACTTCCATATATCTGTGTCTCCTAAATCTCGGAGTTAGAGCATAGTTGGAAGGAGAGAATAGCAAACAATAAGGTACACAGCCTCTCTCGTTAAGACGTCCTTGCCAGATGACAGAGCATGTTTCTACAGGAGTCAGAGAAAGAAGAAAGTCCCCAAGAGAGGATGATGGGAGGAAGGTTGTTTACCATCCTGGTGGCAAAAGCCTTGATTGCATTCATGCTGTTTTCGTTGCTTCTCATTAATAGCTTTTACAATGTTTTTCATGGATTTGATGTGCTGCTCTTCTCCCTCCCATCAGTGCAATCCTAGTTCCTGTTTTCTTCCTACTCCATTGGCTTCCAGTGCACTGAAAATTCCCACCTATGCCAGTAGTTTGTATGGAGAAGAAAGCACACTTTGGTATGGGATGTTGAAAAAAAGTATGCCCTGTGCACCAGCTTAGTAGGCATCCGGGAACAACTTTGTTGTCCAACTTCAACAACAGATAAGGGGATCTTACAAAGCAGCTGGTGTCATCTCACAGGCTTGAAGGCTGTTCATATGAACAGACATATGAATAAACTAAATATCTACAGGGGGAGCAAATGATGTTGCCCACACAAAGTTACATCGGTTCCCAAATTCCAAAATGCGTGTATGAAAACACCCCATCTTCTCATAGCAACGCTTTCTCTGCAATTTTGATTATTACTTAAGGAGGCAAATCGTTAGAAACAGCCAATGTCTAGGAGGCCTGCTAGAATTTCTGAGAGCAGTGTAATGTTGAGATTTGGGAATTTCGGAGAAAATAAAGAGTAACAGCCAAAGACAAGTACACAGTTTCTCCAGCCAATGTAAACAAACCTATGGCTGCTTCGCTCCCAGGGAGGGAGCTTCCTCTTCTATCAACATGGGCTCTTTCGCTTGACTTAGCCTTGTTTTGGGGCATGTGCAGTTACCTTAAATAGCTTCTTCAGTGTCACTGCCCACTTCAGGCAAGACAGAACACATTTGGCGCTATCCTTAAAGAAAAACTTTTCCGTATACTGAACATGCTGTTCTGTAGCGCCATAGAAGCCCTTGAAAAAAAAAAAAAACACTCATCTAATTTCAGGAGTGGGTTTTCTTTGATTAATTATAGGAACAAGAAATATGATGCTTGTGCAAATAACTCACAGTTATTTTCTGCAAAGTTTTATCCTCTGCAATACCTCTGTTATCACCTTTGCATTTAAAATGGAGTAGACTATTCCTTTTATTTCTTTTTTTTTTTTTTTTTTGGAATTTGATTGGGTGTATAAGCTGGCTCCAGACTTGGTTTCACTTTTCCTTTTCCTCCTCTATATCTAATCTTAATCCTTCCTCCAAAGCACAGAAGTAGCAGAACTTTTCATTGAAATAGTCACAATGTTTTTTATATCAGCATCAAAAGAGAAAACATTGCCCTGATTTTTCTCTCTCACTATTAACTGAATTTTGCTAATATTTCTTTACCCTCAAAATAGAAGCTGTACTATGGACGAATCACCCATCATGGGAAAATTGAGCTGAAACTGTTAAACTCTGGCAAAATTCTGAGTGGCTGAGGTTTTTTTTTTTATCATCAAAAAGCCAAATAATTATAGGCACTGATATTCATGCCAGCTATAGCATTAAAAAATAAGTCAGCTGTTGGCTGTGTATTGAAGTATTCTTATGTACAGTTATTTTTCATCTAGAATAAATACTCTTGGTGGTAGCCTTTTAATTTATCCCAGGCATCTTGTTTGAAGATCAGACCCCTGAAGAGACTGAAGCTGATTCCTCTGATTCCTTTGGGAATTATTTGCAGAAATAAATTGATATTTTCACTACAATAAAACTGGGAAGCAGAGGATTAGAGTGGAAACTCAGACTGCTCTGTAGTGAGTAGTCTGTGATAACTGCCATCTTTCCAATGATTTGGGAGCCTTCACACTGAAAGAGCCAAAATTCCTCATTCAGGAAAGTATATAAATATGTAGCTGGTTTATGTTTTCCTAGCAGGGCACAACTTCATGAATCTTGAGTGTTGAAGGCAATTACATTTGTTAGTTTGGATAGCTGTTTTCCGTCAGTAGCTAAGGAATAGCTCATCCATCAGAAAAGTTGGCATTAATTGTGTGCACATTGATGGCTAAAAAGATGAAGATATTGGAGGAAGCCAGGTGATACTGTGTTTGGTCTGCTACTTCCTTCTCAGCACCCTTTCCTGGGAAAGAGAGGATGGAGACAGGTCATGAGTATAAAATGGTATTCTCAGGTCAGGCAAGGAGCTCCATCGGTTTCTGAGGGTCCAAAGTCTGTAACTGCAGGTTTCTTTTAGAGCCCTTGAAGTCTCCTTGGAGAGTATCATCTTTAATAGTGTCCAAAATATTAAATCATTCAGAAGAGAGAAAGAGAACACCTTTTCCTGGGCTCCTGTTGAGATGGTGCTGTTGTGCTTTCAGTTAGGGACAAGAAGTCTGTACAACAGGAGACCTGGGCTTGTGAGTTCAGTGGCAGGGATCTGGAATGAATGAGGTAGATAGATCACAACGTAGAGCAGATCTACTAATCACTCAACTCGTTTAAATTACAGAAGAAAATGAGTCCCAACAGGGACTGGGATAATCCTTTTTGCTGTTTTTGTCAAACAATCCTCACTCATTAAAAAACCTGGAATTTCTTTTTGCATGAAATGAGTAAGTCAATGTAGGCTGCTTTAAGAGTTTCCA